GAAATGATTTGTCTAACTTCGCTGATATTCCCTCTGGTGGAGTAGAAGAGAAAGCTAAAAACAGTGCTATTTTTTTGAGGTAAGAGTGACATGTCTGATCCAGAGGGCTAATTCTTATGCATCAAAGAGGTATTTTGCTTCTGCAGAAGCAAAGTACCTCCTTTGTGTCAGTGTAGTTCATTGTGACGTTGCACAAGCATATTTCTGCAGACTACCTCCGTTGGTCGGCAGGCATTCGTTCAGTCACTTAGATTTCTGATACCTGTTCATCCTGCTGCTCTACATGAGAGTTGACTGGAAGGCATGGAGGTGCTCTACAGTTGTAGATACAGTCATACACCTCATAGTGACGTTTTGGTCAACAACAGACTGTATACAAGATGGTGGTCCCATAAGATTATACTGGAGCTGAAAAATCCTATCATCTAGGATGTTGTAGCCATCATGACATCATAATGCAATGCATTACTCACGTGCTTGTGTTACAGTTGCCTGCTGTATTCAGTACAGTGATATGCTGTACAGGTTTGCAGCCCAGGAGCTGTGGGCTATACCATATAGCCTAGGTGTACAGTAGGCTATATCAGATAGGTTTGTGTAAGTACACTGTGATGTCTACATGACAAAATCACCCAATGGTGCATTTCTCAGAATATATCCCCATCGTTAAGCAATGCATGACTAAAATTTTCTTGTATTGAGGTGGAGGAATTTAACAAATTCTCATCTGGCAAGAGGAATGGATGACTTCCATGAATGCTAGTCACAGGAGACTTGAAGTAGTCACGGAAAACACAAAAAGAAGAGCAAAACCTTCATGATTTCGATCTCATTTGTCTTTTCTGGGTCTCTAATTCCCACTGTGCTATAATACTGCAGCACATGTTCAGTCACCTGCCATAAACTCTAAGATAGCAGCTGGCTTACAGCCCTGAACTCACTGCCCAGCATATAAAATTTGAACCAGGCTCAATCTGTAGGACTCACTGCCTGGGTTTCCATCGAGTGCCATTCCGATGGATGTCCTGGATGAATCTGGG